AAGTAGAAAAAAGCATTTTTATCTTAGATAACTGCACAACTATCTTCAGTCGAGCCTAAATGAACACGAAAAATTATTGATGAAAGCACCAAGACAAACTTCTAATGGGCGTTTGCTACTAAAACGTGTCTGCTTACCCTTGATAAGTGCCTGTTATTTCCTTTAGAAAGTTCTCGCTGGATATACCGTCGCTGTGGATCTACTACTGATTGCGCAGTTTATGTACTACAAGATTAGACATCGAAATAAATTACGAAGTGAGTCTCGTATTTGAACTTTTGAAATTTGCCGTGTGTTCGAATATGCCTAGCACCACAGAGAGAGCTGAGTTAATAGCCCAAAAGCTATTTGACTACTGCTAAAATAGTTCACTTTATTTTTAATTCGTTTTACTTCCTTCTCAGTCCATCAGACGCATGCTAATTTAGTCGCAAGAAAGTTCTGTTACTTCCAAAAAAGTTTATTCTTCTTGAAGAGTACGGACTTGACTACAACAAGTCCGAAGAAGTAGATGCAGTGGGCACTTCGTCCAGAGGCAGCATCTCCTCGGGCACCAAAAAGACCTTAGCAACCGTCCTACTTGGCGTCATTGGTCTCTCGGCCTTCTACTCGCCTTCCGCCCTAAACTACGGAGGCGAGACGCATCATCTTCCACAAGCCAACCTCCATGGACGTCGACTACTTCAAGCTGCTGGAACAACGACGACCAGAAGTCCACTTGCAGATTTCCTTTCAGTGAGTCAAAGACGTTTAGTTTGGGCAAATTCTGAGTGCATGGAAGAAGAACACTAGTTCATTTATTATCAAGTTAATTTATGTATTGATCTATTTCAATGAAGACGAGGGAACGGAAGATCGGTTACGCCATTGGCTGGATCGGCGCGTTTATGTATTTTTGCTCTCGGGCGCCGCAAATATTCCAAAATGTAAGTTAAGTCCATCGAACACTGTTATCTTCAGAAGCCCATATTGAGAATACTCAAAATACTGACTTCTAGTCGTTGACTTTTCTAGTTCAAGAGGAAATCCACCGAGGGCCTCAGTCCGTATCTTTTCCTGTTAGCCATACTTGGCAATGTGTTCTACGGTCTGCAGATTTTCATTAAGTCGACCGACGCTGCATTTATTCTGACTGCTCTGCCCTGGATTCTGGGTAGTCTGGGAATACTTGTCTTCGATGCCATTGTAAGTTGAAGCAGTCCTTGAGGGTCTTAGCGAATAAGCAACTTATTTTTAAACAGGTTTTTCGAAATCTAACGAAAAAATTTCTTCTTTGCAGATTCTGGGCCAGTTTATTGCATATCGAAATAACAGGGGGGAAACTGACAAGCATGGTGATTTGGACGACGATGACTTTCAACGCCAGGATGAAAAGATCCCACCAGATACCTTATAACTTTGTGAAAAGCCCCCCGATTATTTTTAGCTTTCATCCCGAATTTAGGAAACCCCTCTGAAGATTTGTATTTTTCTATGCTTAGCATATAACTGATGTGGAAATGTTTAATCTTCATAAAAATAAATTTGAAAAATCACAGATATAGACAGTTCTTTCCAAACCAGTTGTTTGGACAAGCCTCACGTGCTTTGAAGTCCTGTCTTAGATCTAAAAAGTGAGTTAGCGCGTGTTTTTGAAGTTCGGTAATATGCCGTTAGTGTTGAAAGGCCAAAATGGAAATTCCCCCTAACTCCAATCGGAAAAATTCTCACTCGCGCTATGCGTAATAAGGTAATAAACATTTCTTATATTCATAGGGTCGATGGTCTGCAGCACATACAGGTGGTCGTATAGCGGCTAACAGTTACAGTGAGTGACTGATCTCATGAAATGTTGGCCGAAATTCTGAAATGTCTTTCCAATTAGGATGAATTACTTAGGTAGGGTCGTAGTATCAATTATCTTGCGGCATATTCCTGTAATATTTTGGACTCGCTAGGATGTCTGCTTTTAAACGCACTTAATTTCGACGTTCTAAAGAAATTGCACTTGGGAAAAACTTAATACTTAATTAGCATGCATTCTTCACGTTTATTTTTGAGGGTTTTAAAAATCCGAATATACTTTGTAGAAAGCATGCACGAAAATAAACTTTCTTCCACTCTTTCGGTAGAGAATCATGTTGTCTTTACATTTTATACCCGAATAAGTGTATATTTAGGTTTTTAAAAAGTTTCTAATTGTGGGATTTTTAAGAGCATGCGGTGTCCATACACACAATATCCTACCTGTCTTTTGCCAATGCTCCCCGTGAAATTTACTAGATAGTCCGCATCCATTGCAAAATTTTATGAACTCCATTTAGTATCGTCTTAAATGCACAGAAGAATATGTGATCTTCTTTACGCAGAAGGCATGTACCTTGTAGATCGAAATCGCTAAACGCTAATGCAAGGCTGATCAGGCTCAAAATTATTCCGGAATTGGGAAACGTTTTTAAAAACTAAATATACACTTTCTTCGTGCATAAAATGAAAAGACAACGTGATTCTCAACCGAACGAGTGAAATAAAGTTCACTTTTGTGCATGTTTTCTATAAAGTACATTTTAATTTATGAGGCCATCGAAAAGCACTGAGAAGAATGCATGCTACTCAAGTAGTCAGCTTTTTTACCGAGTGTGGTTTCTTCAGAAGGTCGAAAAAAAGTGCATTCAAAAGC